ACACACGATTGGAGATACAAACACCATAACATCACCCTAGGACACCTAGTTAGACAAAAATACCAGGATTAGCACCCCCTTGTAAAAGTTCTCAACCTCTTTTAATTGTATTTTCACTACAAAGAAATGTCTATTAAATTGAAATATTTTGCATTACATTTTTCCTAGTCCGAGAGGACAAGTTTAGTTCATGATTGTCTTGGTCACAAATGTGCTGGTGTAACAGGATGGAATGGCTGGAGAATCAGACCTCAGAACATTTCTCTTCCACTCCTTGTTCTGCACCATTATTTTGAACTTATTTTGTGACAAGACAAAGACAACAATGCCCCTGGATTCGCACTGATAAAACTTCACTGACTTCAGCAGTTAATGCTCGTTTAGTTGTTATTAAGTGCCCCAAGGGTGATATAAAGTCCACACCTAACATCTGAAACACATTCCAAGATCAACAATAGCAGTCACCAGATAATTTTCTTCTCTACTGAAGGTCGCTCTAAACTTTAAATGCTTCTCTTCACCTCATGTTATACCCGTTACAAATGACTGTTCAGTTGCACTTATAAGCTTAAATCCATATACTCCAACTTTGTACCCAGAAGGCAATTTACAGATTATAAAAGGCAGATAGCTCTTTTGCAGCACATCTGCTCATTTTACCATTCAGCCTGAGAGAAGGAGAAACAACTGGGAGTTGGAAGATCCTGATACCAGGATATAGTGGTAATCAGTGAGAGGAAAAGGTGGATCTTTAAAAAAATTCCTTTTAAAAACAATTGAAGGCAAGCTGACAGCAACACCAGATATGGTGGCCACTCCAATGGCTCGGGAGAGACACAGTCTCATTGCCCAGGGAGCACAAACCAGCCCATGTCCTGCTCGTACTCCTCAGGTGAGCAAACCAGGAGTTTCAGCAGGTGCTGAGCATGCAGCCATAACAAACCCTCGAGTTTCCCCAGCACCAGGCTGGCTGCTTCCTGCACTTGTTTGTTTATGCACCCCTCCCACAGGGCTGTCCCAAGAACAGGGTCAGGCCATGCTTTGGGCCAGAGGTGGCTTTTGCAACACACAGACACCACCCGGCTCCTGCTGAGGATCCTCCTGAGCCTTGCAGAGTGCCCGAGTCCCGCATGCACCCAGCTCTGCTGGGCTGCCCCTGCACTGCCTCCAACAGGCAGGAAAATGTTCAAGCACAGCATCCTAATCGTAAGCTATCACACAAAATCATGATTTTTAAAAATAAAAGTACATTGAGAACTTCTGGACGTGTGACAGATAATTACTTAGCTATGTCCCTTGCCCCAAAGAAATACGCTTGTGTGTTTTCTCTTGTGAAATATTTGCCATTCCATAATCTCACTCCATACATGCTCACAGTACTTAGGTCAGACTAGGAGCACAAGACTATAAGGAACTAGACAATCTTTTGTTGTTGTTGAAGAAATCACAAGCTGTTCTTAATTTTCAGAATTTTTCTTCCCTTTAAATAGTTGAAGACATTTATTATTGAACTTCCTGCTTTGACGGAATTTTTCTAAAAGAAATTGATTTTACTAGCTCACACTGTTATATTCAGCTGAAGGAAAAAGCATCATACCTAATTTTTGTTAAGAATATTTTTAAAAAATTGAATAAGCCATTGACTGAAATATCCAGTATCACAAGTGTTATTGCTTAAAAGGCTATAATCTTTTTGCGATCAGATTTCAACATACTAGAAATTCTATACAAAATAAAAAAACAAAACAAAAAAAACCTAAAAAACCCCAAACCAACAACAACAGAAAAAACAAACCAACCCCCCCCCCAACAACTTACTTCTAAAATATTCTTTCAGGAAAATTACATTTTAACAACTAAACGCAACAATATGTTAGATTACATTTTGAGCAGAATGTTTACCTTTCACTGAGTTTCTCTGCCAGCTGTGTCAGCATTGGCTGTATAAAAAATATTAAAGGGAGCTGTTTATTTTTTTTTTAATTGCCACGATCATGCCAAAAAACACAATGTGTGGGCTGGAGGCAGAGTGCTGGGAGCAATATTATTCATGCTAAAAACAGTTGCCTGATTTGCTTTCTTTGAAAATTAGGATACTATAAATAGGAGCCCAGTGGGATTTTTTGATTGCAAGTTATGTTTTAAAGGCTGCTAGGATGAAACTTTTGAACGACTTACAAAAGATAGAGCAATTATTGCTTATCATTTACCTTTGGCCTGCATTAGACCTGTATTTTTGGAGAGTTATATATTTAACATGGATGTACCTCCTGTTTCTATGCATATGTCAAAATACAAGATTCTTATAAGAAAATTTCTATGAAGATTTATTTACTTTCTATATTTATTTCTATAAACCAGGTATCTTAACTCACTCTTGTGTTAATTATCATTAAAAATATTGTATTGCCAAACTCATATTAACTCTTTGTTGCCTGCTTTGCAAAAATCCTTCCCCACAAATCACCTTTGAACAAGTCAGAAATTATGATACAATAATTCATCACAAAAAAGTTGTATCAAGCCTCTGTCCCACAACAGTACCACAGCTGTCCTCCCCTTTATTTATTTATCCTTAGCACCTTGCTGCCTCCCCTTTCTTGCTTGCTTTACAGATGACCAAATGCAAGCTTCCATTAAAAAAACCCAAACCACCAAACAAACGCTACCAAAAACCCGAGGAACCAGCAAAGCCCCAAAACACATAAAACCCTAATATGAATAACAAAACAAGAAAAATCTATTGCAGAGATTCTATCAAGCACTTTCTTTTCTATGAGAAATTATACATGACATTCACCATTAGAAAGCTGGCATTTTGACCTGTATTTGGAATGGGAAGCAATGGGAGCTACTGGGATATGCCAATATTTTAACAGCAAATAGAAGGAAAGAAATAAAGATAAGCTGCTAATTTGACTCTGAGCAGAGGGCCAACAAAGCAATGACACAGACTGTGAGAACCTACTTAAATTCCTAGCTTTTCCCACTGAATTCTGTTGAGTAAAAAGAAACATTTTTTTCCCAAAAATTCACTGTTTCTCTTTAAGAGAAAGGATTTTTACACAAGCATTTTCATACTGCACTGCTTACATAAACCATACATCTTTGAAAGGGGTGTAGGATTTTGCTGTGCATCTTCAAGCATGAAGCAAATGGCTTGATGGCCATTTTCCTGAAGGCACAGCCTTTCACTGGGAACATGGACCCTGTTGAGAGGAGTTTTGGCTGAAGCCCTTGCCAGTGCTCAGAAGCTGACAAGCCAGGCTCGATCCTGTCTGCAGGTCTTTCTGCAATTCCTCTGCTCTCTGACTGGGCATGACCTTTGAGTTTACTCAACTCCACAGCCTCAGACTTGGTTCAGCCCTACATCTCGACTGTAGCACTCAAATTTCATAAGAGAACAGCAGAAAATAGGAGAAGAGGGGAAGGTGGGAAAGAGGGATGTGGTAACAAAGAGAGGAACATTGTGTTCAACACTGCTCCAACAAACTTTTAACTAGTGCTGTATTTTCCTTTGGAAGCTAAGTACTTCATGATGTGTATCACACTACCATCCTTATTTAAAGATATTTTTTGTCCTTATCTAAAGCTTTTCTTAGTAGAACTAAGAAACAAACAAGGAGTAAGAAACAAAAAGCTCAATCTGACTAAAAAAAAATAAATTTAGCATTAAGAGGTGATAATTATCTTCTGTCCACCATAAAAATTCAATCAAAGTATGAAAGCCTGGGTTTATCCTATACAAACCATGAAGAAACAATTAAGAGTGTGACAAAAAACATCGTATTTCTCAGGAGAGTTGACCCTGTTCCAAGGATAAAATGATAACTAGTGTCCTGAGTCCAGCTTGGTGACCTTCTGGAGCTGGAACTTTCAATTATGTCAAATTAGCTGTGTCACATGAGCTGCCTTTGTGAGTGAGGCTGGATCAATGCAGTGCATTTCACTGATGAGGACAATGATCTAATCAATCTTAGCCACTCAATGGACAGCATGAGGTTGTGAAGTAAGCACAGAAAAAGAATGCTGGGATCTGTCATTGTCAGGGTTACCTAGAGGCTCCCCATTTGTGCTTTTCCTTTAAATGCTAATTTTAAACGATGAAAAAATAACACTAAGTAGCAATTTCCTAGAAGGGGTTTTGTCACATCTATTCAGACTTACATTCTGCTTGCCAAATTGCAACCTGATGTTCAATAATGCTGTTTTTGACACTTCTATGTAATAAAAGTGAAGATCCTTCTTTGCTCAAGGATGTCTATGACACTTTTGACACTTCTCTCCCAGAATTGCAGGCAGCCCAGATGTTCTTTGCATTAAGAAGAGCGTTGCCACAGCTGCCACGTCATGTCAGAAGATATTGGGCTCTAGGCAAAAGCAGCAAAGGGCATCCTTCCTCTTTTTAAGTGAGGAGTAATTTTTGGAGAGTAAAACCTTTTGATTGAAAATTAAAGCCTCAGAGGGACTTTGTAGGCAAGAGACATATTGCATTTTCTCTGCTCATGTTTCAAGGTAACTCAGAACCATTACAGAGCAGCTGTTTCCACTTCTGTTCAGAAAAATATTCCTTACCTACCAATGCCAGCATAGCACTACTGTATCTGCTGGACATCTGGATGTTATGATACAGGCAAAAACGAAAATAACAGTAAGAGGTCCTGGTGATAGACTCAAGCCTTGATTTCTGGGACCTCACAAGGGTGCAAGACCCAGTCACTCCTGGATTGTTTAGGCTTCTCAAGACTTGAATCCAGAGACTGACATTCACAAGTGTCTCCTTCCACAGGAGTGACAGGTGAAGAAGTCTTGGCTACATGAAGTCTCTGTACCCCAGGATTCTCTGCAGCTGGACTAAAGTAAGTGTTTGAAGACTACATCATCTTTCTGGAAAAAAAGTGTCCCTGGGTAAAACTCACCATCTTTTCAGCATCATTCTCTTTATGTGTGCCCTTGTACTGTCCCCAAAACAGCTGCTAGTTGGACCAAGTAATAGACTGGGCTGTGTTTCTCCTTTATTTTAGAAAGACATAGGTTCTGCTCTTTAACACAGGCCACACAAGCAGTGGTTCTGCGCACAACAAAGCGATCTAGGATGGAGGGTTCCATGGGTAGATCCCTCAGAAGAAACACTCCTTAAAGTTAAACTAAAGCCCCAGGGCTCACAGAAGGCACCACTCCTGTCTGTGTGTGGGCTGATGAGTCAGGGTGTTTTCCTTCATCCCGCTGCTCTTCAGCTCCATCTCCTGGATGCACCCACTGCATGGGAAGAGTCACCTTCCCACACCATGTACTGCCCTTTCAGCAGAAACAGGTTAGCACAGAGTCTGACTAATAAGTTTCCTCTGAGAGAGAGGAAAAAAAGTGTGATCGAAATAAAATTTCTAATTTGGAAATTTCAGTGCAGGGATCTATTTTTGAGTACTCGCAACAGAAGTTTTCCTGATGGAAGGATTTTTTTTGTTTGTTTCTTACAGAAATCTACATGATTAATACAAATTTTAAAAGGCTTAAAACAGCTTAGAGAGCTGTTATTTATATTCTCTTATAGACACACCAAAAGCTTAAGGTAGTTTCACCATCTCCCTTAAAATAACATGAAATAGAATTGTATATTTTTTTGAAGAGTCACTGTTAAGTCTTTTCTGTCATATCCAGGAAGCCATTAAATGGCACAGAAATTTTTTAAACAATGTCTTAGTGGGATTACTCCTCGCTTGACTTTCCTCTGTGCTGCATGGTGAGCTGGCTCTGTCACGTTTGGTGCTGGTTATAGTCACAGCAGGAACAGCAGCAGCCAAAGTGACTAGTGGGGAAAACTAATATTTTTGGGTGCTGCCAGATTAGAATTCCTGTAGAACTCTTATGTAGCATCCACAGAGCATCCATACAGTGATTTTTGTGCTGTGCTGCCAAGCCAGTTGTATCAAGGAGGCATCAGCCTACCCAAAGAAAGGCAATGAACAGCAGCATGAGGTGTTGTACCCTACCACCAGGTCCTAATCGATCCCTGTGATCCCACCTGGCACTCCAGCCTTCCTGATCACACAGGTGTTAGGGAAGACAGGACCACTCCCAACTCCTTATTCCAAATCCAGAGCAGTACTGGCCTGCAGCTGATCCTGCTGAGCTGAGCAGGTTGAATTTTTGGTCCATGCTGCAAATTTTTGTTCGTGTTTGGAACACGAGTGCTACAGACCCACCAGGGATGATGCTACATTAGCAACAGCTGCCATGTTGTCTGCTCCTTTCCCAGACAGTTTCCCTGGTGTGGGTGTCACTTTCACAGTCAAATGCCACTGGACACAGAGTTATGGCAGTGATTACTATGGAAAATAAGAAACACAAGGACAAATCATTTTAACTGAAGCGTCAGCAATGGAAAATGGCAGTCATCCTTAAATGTCATAGTGCCTCCCAGTTGGGCCTGGGCTCTGTGAAATGGGGAAAGGACTCCAGAATTGCAGAGATCCATTATCCTCAATGGTTCAGGAGGACAAGCTCATTAGGAACTATAGCTTCATTAGGTACCAAGAGCTGCCCTGTTGTCA